AAAACGTTGTTAATATTACCACCTCAAAATTGTAGTACGATTGGACCTCCCACCAGATCTTGTTTTGTGTTACTAAATATATATACCACAAATTTGTTTTTTAATATTTTGATAGCTTTATTTCAGTATCGTTAGTTTCCTTTGTGATACTATGTATTTTATTTTACCGGCCCACCAGAAGGGTCCATGGCACAAAAAGAGCTAAGAACTCCTACTTTTGTTCCATACCCACCATAGATGGGAACTGGGGCCCAGAGTAGGCAATGCTTTTCCCGGATGGATGGATGGATGGATGGATGTGTGGATGGACAAATGATAAAAATACCATTGTAATAACAATAGTAATAACCCTCTCTGACTGCCTACCCTGAGCCAAGCACATTTTTATTTATTTATTTTTAATTTACTTATTTGACAGACAGAAATCACAAGTAGGCTGAGAGAGGAAAGGAAGCAGGCTCCCCACTGAGCAGAGAGCTGGACGCAGAGCTCAATCCCAGGACCCTGGGATCATGTCCCAAGCCGAAGGCAGAGGCTTTAACCCACTGAGCCAACCAGGGGCCCCCAAGCACATTTTTAAAGTAATTTAAGCCTCGGGGCGCCTGGGTGCCTCAGCTGATTGGGCGTCCAACTCTTGATTTTGCCTCAAGTCATGATGTCAGGGTCATGAGATCAATCTCCATGTTGGGTTCCACACTGGGTGGGGAACCTGCTTACGATTCTCTCTCCCTCTGCTTCTGCCACTCCCCATGGCTCACATTCTCTCTCTCTAAAAATAAATAAATCTTTTAAAAAAATTAAGCCTCATGACAGCCCCATCTGGAAGATGTTATGTCCCCACTGCACAGACAAGAAAACTGAGGCATAAAGATGTGACTTACCAAGGCCACTCCATTAGCAAATGGAAGAGCCAGAGTTGAAACCGGCGAGCCCACACTCTGAACCTCCCTGCTCTGTGACTACCCAGGCCAGATAATCATGGCTTGGGGCTTAGCTCTGGAGTCAGAGACCAAGGTCTCAATTCCAGCTCTGCCTCTTGCAAAGCTGCATGACTCCGGGCAACTCACTTCCACAAACATTTTTCTCATCCATAACATAAAGACAGTTACATCATCTCCATCACTGGGTCATCTGTGGACTCACAAGGCATGGAATGCACTTAGCACAGGGACTGGTACACAGTAAGTGCTCAACAGTTCAGTCCTCATGGAGAAACTAAGGCACAGACACATTTAAAAGGGTAATTGGTGCCTCCATGCTAAGAGTTCCAGAAATTATGAAAATAAAAGGCTCAAGGCTAAGAACCTAGATCTCAGCTTCTAGCAAGACCCCTAGTGATCAGGAGTTAGCAAGTGCCCATTGGGACTGGGCTTTTGTTTTGGGGGTGAGGGGAAAGGTTGAGACGGCAAGCACATCTGCAAACATGCCAGAGCTAGGGTCTTCCTTCCAAAGAGCACAGTATGGAAGGGGGAACAGAATACCTTGATAGCAGAGAACCCTGACAGACACTGCCTCGGCCAGCGGGGCACGGCTAAAATGAACAAATGATAGGGGCACCTGGGTGGCCACTCAGTCGGAGCATCCTACTCTTGATTTCTGCTCAGATTGTGGGATCAGGCCCCGCATCGGGCTCCACGCCCAGCAGGGAGATTGCTTCCCTCTCACTCTCTCCCCTGTGTCTACTCCTCCCCTGCGCTCACTCTAATATAAATCTTTTTTAAAAATGACCAAATGACAGGTCATACTCACAGCATGCACCTTCAGTAGAATGAGAATGGCCCTTGACTTCTCCCTCCCGAAAACCTAAAATCCCTTTCTAATCACAGGAAAAACATCAGATACTCTCACATTGAAGGACATGCTACAAATTACCAGACCAGGCCAAGGTCACCAAACTACACCATGAAGGTCATCAAATACAAGGAAGGTCTGAGAAACGGTCCCAGGCTAGGGGAGCCTACGGAGACGTGACAGCTAAATGTTAATGGGGTGTCTGGGATGGGATCCTGGAACAGAAAAGGGGATGCTTGGTAAAAGCTAAGGACTGTGAATGAAGTGTGGACTTGAATAAATAATAATGCATCAATATTGCTTCGTTCGTTGTAGCAAATGTACCATACGAATGTAAACTATTAAAATTAGGGCAAACTGGGCGTGGGCTTAGAGCAACTCTCTATACTATTTCAGCAACATGTCTATAAATCAGAATCCATCCTAAAATAAAAAGAATTCTTTTCAAAAAAATGTTAGTGGTACATCTGGGCGGCGATGTTCCAGGCAGATTTCTGAGTCTTACTTCTCCATGTTTTCTCGGTGGCCCACCAGGAACATTCTGCTTTTGACATCATAAGAAAATTCAGTAAACTTTGTTTCAAAAAAATGAATGAACGGGTGTTTGGCCCTTTGGAGACAGAGCACTACATAAATAAAAGTATAATTAGAGGCGTTTCTCCAGCAGCGATTAAAACCCACTTTATCATTCTGTGCCCAGGAGGCTCTAGCCACGAGGGCCTGGCCCGGAGCCCTCTGCAGGGCAGGGTGGTGTTCCTCTGAGCCCCGCCAGCACTTTTCTGTCTGCGATCAATCAGCGCTTACTGGCAGAGGAAGAGAGGGGGCCAGGCAGCCGGTGCAAAGGTCAAAGGTCTCGTCCCAGGTGAGCTGAAGCTTCTGGCTCAGTGAGACACTAGAGGTAGAGAGATCCTGTCCACCAGCTTCGGCCTGCTCTGGGCCATCGGCCAAGGAATGACTGTTCCATCAGACTGGCCTGTTTCCCTCCAGTCCCCTCGGGACAGGCAGTGACCATGGTAGATGGCTGGACCACATTTGGGGACAGGACACTGGAAGGAGGAAGAGCTAAGTGGGCAGCAACCCTTCAGAAGACTCCCCCCAACACGGGCCATACCACCCAGACCCCAAGGGCACCAAGGGCAAAGGCCAGCTTGTTCTCAGGCTCAGCCCAATCCCCGAACACCAATTCCAGCTCCTGGATCACAGGGAATATGAGGCCACTCCCTCGGATCCACTCCTGTTTGGTTCCCAAAGGCTTCCTCTGTAGTCTGGTATCCAGTTCATACATGGCCGGGCTCTTGGTGACAGCCTCAGGAGCACGGAATAGGGGAGGGATGGTGTTGAGACATTTCTAATGGTGATGAGAGAGGGACAAGGTTCTCTGAGAAGGGATACCTCAGCTTTCCTAACATGTAGGAAAAGGGTTAAGAAAGAGGCTTGATTCCTTTATAAACACACTGAGCTATTGCCTTCAGCCCACAAGGCTGCACATTTATTCTGGTTACTCTTCCAGAGCTCATTCAACTCTTCAGAAAATGCCTTCAGGGCCACCTTTGACCAAAATTGATCAGCTTCCTTGATTGCCCAAAGTATTCCCCAATGCAAGCATCCAAGTGACTTTCAGCTGTTTCCAAAATCCAAATCCAGGCAAAAGACCAACACCACCTGCCCCTCTGAGGACACTCCCGAGAACCCCAGGCATGGCCTGAGAAACAGCACCACCACAAGAATGTTACAATCTCCGTAGTGGTATTTGTCACACACCTGCCTTCACACTCAAAGCTGGAGTGGGTTGCCCTCTCTCCGGGGCTCCTGACAAAGGCCCTGAACCATTCCTCAGGCATCAGAGGAGTGTGGGACACCCCGACCACACAGCAGATCTGCCTCTGCCTTCCCTGAGAGCGGGCCCATCTTGTCTCCCTCCCAGCAGAGCCCAGGCACTGGGACAGCCCCAGGCTCCATTTGTGCCACTAATGAGTCTTAAGTGTTTGGCTTGGGCTCCTGCCAGTCCTACTCCTACAAGGGAAAAGAGAATGGGAGAGAACAGGAAAAAGATCACACCAGCTCAGCTCTGCTAGGCCCCGGGAGGGCTGGCACAGGGGTTGCCCGGCACCAACCCACCAGGGGTGCACCCGGGCACTGACTTGGGGCCCCTCCACCTTTCTGCCCCCTCTACTTCAGAGCTTCTCAAAATGCAGATTCCTGGGCACAACCACTGGATTGAAGGCCTGGAGGTAGGCCCAGGAATGTGCATTTCAGTAAGCACCCCAGGAGACTGTGATGCCTGGTGAAGGTTAAGAACCACTGCTCTAGGGGGGTCCTTGATGGAATTTCAGGCTGCTGTGTATATATGCATTTTACTAGGGAGTCCACAGCTTTGGTCAAATGCTCAAATTAGGTCAATAGCCCCCCATGGCCCCTGAAATAATATAACATAATGTAACATAACATAGCAAGCTAAGAAACGCTAATGGATGGGATGATTTCCCAATTCAGGTGTAGCTCTGATCTGTGACTCAGCTCAGGCCCCACCAAGGAGAGGTCCACAGGGGGCCTCTCTTCTCAGCAAGCATCAGGGAAAGAGGTTGGTGGGCCTGGGGAACCAAGGATGACAGAGAAGGCCGAGGAGGATGTCAGGGCCCAGTGGACATTTCAGAATGCACGGGGAAAGGGCCCTTAGAGATCACAGAAGCCAAACTCCCCGGCAAGAAGGGCTGACTCCCCACCAGCACCCGGGGCTCCTGGGCCACACAGCTAAACGGCACTTCCCAATGCATCCCCCCTGCAGTTGGTGGGGGCCGTTGAACCCTGGCCCATGGAAGAGTCTCCCGTCCCGCGGTCCCTGTGGGAAGGGTCTCCCACGGGTCCTCAGAGGACTCCAAGGCCCTTGCAGAGAGCCGAGCCTCCACAGGGAAGAAGCTGGGTTCTGACAACTGTGAGGCACAGACCGTACCCACCAGCAACCTGCCCCGGACCGCGCCGTGAATGGAAAATAACCCTTTGTGTGTTCAGTTAGAGGGATCTGGGGCTGGTCTGAATCAGCAGTCAGCCTCCTGTCCCCAGTACACCCTCCTCAGGGACACGGAGCCCCCGGGTGCAAGGAGGCAAGCATTCGGTGTCACAGTGCGCTCCTGCTGGGCCAGCGCGAACACCAGCACTTCCCCCCGACGGCCTTGCACAGGGGACGGGGCGCCAGAACCACACACCACAGCCTGGGCAGCACCAATTCCCAAAAAACTTTATTGTTTCAAGTGGCAAAATGTAATTGGTCTCTGTGGGGGCACCTGGCAGGGCGAAGGGAGGCCTGGGCTGGGGCTGGGGCAGGGCTCCGCCCATTACAAAAATCAAAGGCTTTTATAAAAAATGCTATAAATTGGTATCAAAAGAAAACCCGAGGGAGGCTGGAGGAGGAAGCAGAGAGGGAGGTGTGAAGAGAGCGAGGGAGGAGGGACCAAAACCTTCAACCACAAATGCCTGAATCTGGTCAGGAGGGAAGGGGGTGGGGGTGGGGGGGAAACGTTGGGAAGGGAGGGGATACAAAGTGCATAAATGTGCCTCCCCAGACGCTCCTCAGACATGGAAGGGGACAGAGGCTGCAGCCTGGGGCCTGGTGGGGCTCCAGCCATCTCCTCGCCGGGGACCCCACAGGAATGGGCACTGCCTGAGACTGCCAGATGGGAAGGACCTGCAAGGGGGAGGGGAGGGAAGAGGTCAGGAGGGGACACCATGGCAGACAGAGGACCCGCCTCAGCTTCGGCTTCCCAGGCCGGCTCCCCCAGCTGAGCTGAGGGGTAGGAGGGTCCCACCTGGGGCCCTTGAGCCTGGTTAGTACCTCAAGGGGTCCCAGACCAGAAGGACTGGCTGACCCCACTCGGGCCAGCCATGGAGCCAGGACCACATGGGGACCGTCCTTGAGCCCAGGGAGGAAGGCAAGATGGAAGCCCTCCTCCTTGTCCATCCCAGCCCAGACAACACCTTGTTCTGTGGACAAAACCTAAGGGGAGCCAAGGGACCCATCAGTTCCTAGAGCTTAGCTCTACTGAGAGAGAAAGGAGGACAGAAAAGGCCTAGAAGGTGGTACGGGGTATCCTGAACCTTCCAGGTCAGGCCCTGCTCACCCGTGAGCCCCAGACAGAGCCCCAGCCCAGGAACCCGCTCTTACCTCGAGGACTTCTCAGACCTTCTTCTTCTTCAGCTTCAGGGCTTGTAGCCAGTTGGGTGATGATCCTTCTGACCTAGATGACACAGAACAAAGGTCACAAGGCAAACCTCAGGAAAGGTGAACAAAGTGAGGAAGTGGTGGGGAGGGAAACCCACCTTCCAACCGGAAGAAGTGTCAACTTCACACAGTTAATTGAGGCCCACCCGTGGAGGCCAATCGAGGTCACCTACCCTGAGGATTTCTCTGGCTTAGGAGGTAACGCAAGGGGCTTCCCCAGCCCAGGGACCTTGCAGGACTTGGAACGCTGCACCGCGGGCTCCTTCTGGCTCGGCTTGCTCTCTGCAGGCTCCCCCTCCTCAGCCGAGCGGTTCCGGGGGCGCAGCTTAGCCTGGGAGACGAACCCAAGCAGAGAGAGACATCAGAGGAACAAACAGGAGGATTCCCAGAGGGCAAGGCCTTCTCCCAAGAGTACACCATCCCCAGAATCCAGCAAAGACCCCGCTGGAGTCCTTTCACCCAGATGGATAGGAAGTCACTTGAAAATAAGCCTCCAAGAGTTGAGCCACACTCGGCACAGAGCGGGTGCTCAGGTAGATTCTGCTACACTGAATTAAGACTACCTAAACTGGACAAAGTCAGCGGTGAATTACCAGCCCTGTGTCTGTTTACTCCGTTCCCTCTGCCAGGAACACCTCCCTGTCATCACCCCACCATCCACAGCCAACTCCTACATATGCCTCAAAGCCAAGATCAAATAGTTACATGAGGCCGTCCCCAATATACCCTCCCATCTCACACCACATGACCATTAGGAAATAACCTCCCCTCCCCCGCCAACAGGCCTAGCCCTTTCTGTACCTCCCCAGTGACACCTAAGCACCTCCCCCACCTCCACCAGAGCTAATCAGAGACATGGCTTCTGTCCCCACCCCCCACCGCCCTCCGCCCCACATGAAGCTCTAGGACACAAGGCCTTGTTACTCCTTCCATCCCACTAAGCACACAGCACAGGCCAGCAGGCCCCCCAGTGGAGAGTAAAATGACAGGAGGAATGAGAAGAAGGGCCCATGCGATGGAGGGAAGGGTGGAGAGATAGACGGAAAAAAGCGCTGGACGCAAGGTGGCTAGAGGCTGATACGCTGGCTGAAGGATTAGATGCTACCTTTAGGGCTGATGGACTCAGGCCAGGGAAGAGGTTGACTTTCAGCCCCTTGGTGCCCAAGGACATCCGCGTCCGGCGGTTCTGAGGCTCCTCCACCACCTCCTCGTCCGAAGACGGCACCCGAGAAGCTCGTGGCTCTGCAAGGGCCCAGAGAGGGGGCTCAGCACAGAAAGCAAGCCCGACCAGCCCTCCCCTGCACGGCTCCCAGACAGCCGCCACGGACATCACCCAACAACACAGGGGCCCTACCCGTAGAGTCCTGGAACAGGCGCGCATCTGAGTCTGCGGCCTCGGACAAGCCCAGGGTGCCCCCAGGCCGGATGGCCGGGGCCCGGTGTCCTCGCTTGCGCCCCAGGTTGGCGCGGCTCCGGTACATGGCACTGTCAAGGATCTCGGTGTCCTGCTCGGGACAACAGCAACGTCACTCCATTGCCGTCCCGTGGCCCTGCCCCATCCTGCAGGAGCCCTCAATAGCAGCGGGCTGCCTGGAGCGCCCTGTTCACAGGACTCGCTTCCTGCCCCCCGATGGACACGGCTCAGGGCCGAGGGCCGAGGCTCCAGCTACATCACCCACAGGCCCCTCAACAGCACAACCACTGGCCTGGGCTCTCCCTGCACTGACCTCAATGAAGGAGAAGTCCTGACTGGGAGAGCGGGGAGGAGGGCCTTGGGGGGGCCGCCGAGGGGGCCGTGTCGGGCCCTGCTCGCCCTGCCCGACCCCTGAAGGACTCCAGGTGCCATCCACCTCTTCTGTCTGGCTGGCTTCACCATCCGGCTGCGGCCTCCAGGAAGGCAGCGGGTCCCCGCTAGGCTCCGGGGGCTCCCCTTGGTCAGCACCTGCTGTGGCTCCTTCCTCCTCCAACAGGCCCCTGAGGCCCGAGGCTGCTGACTCCCTACGGGCTGCTGCCCTGGAGCTGCTGGCAGCCAGCATCTCCTCCAGCAGGCCCTGGGAGCCAGAGGGCGGGGAGCGGGCCAGGCACCTGCCAGGACTGCAAAGGAGACCAACCAGAGCACAAGGTCACCCGTGAAGCCCCATCTCTCTCCCGCAAGCCCACTTCACAGTATCCATGCCCCCCCCCCACTTTCCCCACCCTTGCCCTCTCCCACATTTCCAGGCTTTCCCAGACTCCTTCCTGAAAGACATAGGGCCCAGTACAGCACAGCACGGAGGGAACAAGGTAGGCAGCCTGGCAGGTTGAAATCCTAGGTCCACCACTTACTGAGGCTTTGGATGAGTCCCTCCACCTACCAAAGCCTTGGGCTCCTCTAACTCTAGAGTCACTGGGAAATGGAATGGCAACCAAAGCACAAAGCCCAGTGTCCAGCCCCCAGCGTGTACCCATCACTAACAGCAACTGTTACCACTGCTACACTGCTACACTGTTACGGGGCTGCTGGGGGCTGCCATCAACGGCCCCCTTCTAGGGGCACCTGCCCGGGTGGTCCCCCTCCCCGGGATGAGCCAGATACTGGCCCATCTGGCCACGCAAGCTCTTGGGCCTTTGGCCCCCACAGGAGCCCTCCCCATGCCCCAGGCTCATGAAAGAGCCAGGGACTCCCAAACATGCCGGGCCTTCGCAGACCACCGTGTGTGTGGACAAGCTGTTCCTGCGCCTGGAAAGCTCCCACACTGCCCCTCCACTCACTCTCCCTGCAGCTCAGTTCCTCTTCAGAAGCTGGCCCGCTCCCCTCGGGCCCACTCCCCTCTGCAGCCCTGCATGCCCTGGGCTCCCACCTGGACCAGTCCCTGCCTCAGAGCCCGTCTGTGAACAACTCAAGGGCAAAAACGGGCCCCTTTTGCCTTTGTGTCCCCAGCACCTGCACCCAGGGCCTGGCCAGGAGGAGCAAGACTAAGCAAATGTTTACACACTGAGAGGCTGGGTCACCTTGCACCTCAACACAGCCTGTGCATCTCCTGCCCGCCAGTCCCTCAAACACTACACGAACACACGCGGCACAGCACACACACTACTCGCACGCCTCACACTACGAGCTGGTGTGCTGGCCAGCTGCCACCCCGAAGTAGGGACACACCCTGCACACACCATAGACCTCCCTCACGGACCCAGTAGGACCCTGCCCCCACAGCACAGCAGAGCCCCCCCCACCCCACCCCACACATGCACACTGATGCCGCGCAGGGGGGCGGGTGGGTGGGCGGTCGTGGGAAAGGCTGGCAGGGCCAGGGCCCGGAAGCCAGGCCTTCGAGAGTTGCCAAAGGGACTGGAAGGGGAAGGGAGTTGGGCAGGTGAGTCAGTAGCGGGCGGAAGGGGGGAGGGCAGGAGAGAACATGTGTCAGTCTGTCCTTCCACAAGCTGCTGACAGATGGAAATGAAAGCGCTCTGGGTAGGGAGGGAGGAGGTGGAGGTGGCAGCAAGGCAGCCGAATGGAGCAGCCTTGGATGGGGGCCAACGCCAGCTCACCCTGCAGCTTAAAATCAGGGAGACCGGAGGGAGGGGGCAGGGGCGGCACCCCCACCCAGCCCACGGCCTCTCCTTGGGGTGCGGCAGACACAATGCCAAGGGCTGGCCTGCAGAGTTTAAGGGGATGTGAAACAGCGGATGGGTGGATGGAAAGATCCACACCCAGAGCAAGCTGGGCTCCCAGCCACGTGGGCAGAGGGCAGCAGATGAGCTCAGTGGGCCCGGGGGGGTGGCCACCACGAGGGGAGGGTGGGAAGAGCACTGGGGAATGAGGCGTGCATCGCCCCTGCTGGTGGGGCTCAACCCCAGCTCAGGAGAGCTTGCCTGCCTCTGAGCTCCCAGAACACCTATAAGCTGAACTCCTCCCCAGCAGGGAAGCAGGAGAGCAGCACAGTCAGGAACCTGTGCTGGGTGCGGCCACTGGCACAGATGTGGGCTCCCTGTACTTGTCCACTCTGAGCCTCAGCTCCTTCCCTGGCAAAATGGGGACCATAAAAGACCCATTCTTCACTGAGTCTGTTGGCAACAAGCTGGAAATGTGTGCCCAGCACACCCATTAGCACCGTGCTCCATTTTTTTAAGTTTTTAGGATAATCGGGGCACCTGGGTGGCTCAGTCAGTGGAGTCCAACTCTTACTTTTGGCTCAGGTCAGGATCTTGGGGGTCCTAGGATGGAGCCCCACGTCCGGTCCCACACTCAGCAGGGAGTATGCTTGAGAATTTTCTCTCCCTCTGCCCCTCCCCCACTCATGCCCACACACACTCTCTCTAAATAAATAAATCTTTTTTTTTTTCTCTTTAATCTGTTTTTAAAAAAATAATCATTGGGGCGTTTGGGTGGCTCAGTGGGTTAAACCTCTGCCTTCGGCTCAGGTCGTGATCCCAGGGTCCTGGGATTGAGCCCCACATCGGGCTCTCTGCTCGGCAGGGAGCCTGCCTCCCCCCACCTGCCTACTTGTGATCTCTGTCTGTCAGTAAATAAATAAAACCCTTAAAAAAATCATCATCATCATCATCATCATCCCCAACACAGGTTCCTGGCCTGGGGACTTGCCCTGTCTTGCACCATCTACACCCCTCACCCATCTGGACTTAGGATCTCCTGAGGGTCAGGACTTGAGCCAAGCCCACCCCACCCCCACCACCATTCCAGGGACAGAGCTGGGGAAGGGCATGAAGCAGATGTGCACACAATCAGCTTGCTGGTACTCAAGGCTCCAAGACCCAAAATGAGGGAGGCTTAGGCCTACAGCTGGAATGATGTGCCTGAAGGAGCACCAGCTGGCCTGGACCAAGAGACACAGGAAATGTGCCCAGAGAGATGACAGCAAAGCTGGGGCCCAAGGGAACATGAAGGAGCCTATAATCGCCAGCTGCGGACCTTGTGCAAGACACACTGCCTCCCTAGGCCTCAGTTTCCCCACTCATGAAATAAGGGGGCTGGCCTCAACCTCTGTGGAAATTCCACAAAGACCCCAAAATGACTGAGAGGTCTCCACGTCACGGGGCCCAGGGGAGGGGTAGAAGATGACCAGGAGGCCATAGAGAGGAGAGGTCAGTCCATGAGCTCTCGGGAGAACCAAGAGAGCAACTCCCATGAGGAAAAGGTGGCCCTAGACACAAAGAAGGAGCCTGAGCTCTCCCCAGGACCCACCCACCCCCATGCTGTCCTTATCACAACTATGCTGGACAGCATTCCAGCCAAGGACCGCCTGCCATCAGGGATACCTTTGTCCTACACCGAGATGTGACAAAAATGTCCCCATGGGCTTCACTTCATGGACAGCTCAGATCCATGCAAATTGGCCAAACATATACAATTACAAGTAGCAAGCATTTTTTTTTTTTAGCAATCACCACATGCCAGGCAGGTTTCTAACGCTTTATGGGTGTCCGCAACTCTTAACCCTGTGAGTAGGGGTAGTAAGTTACTCCCGAGGTACAGACAAGAAATAGGAGTCCCTGAGAAAGAGAAGGAACTTGCCCAAGGTCACAGAGGTGGTGGCTGAATCAGGACCCAAACCTGGCAGCTGGACCTAAACCCAGACTACTCTGAGTTATCCTCAAGGACTTCCCCAGGGGAGCCTCCAAAATTTCCCATCAAGAGCAATTTTCCAGGGCGTAGAATTTCCCTAAGTCAGATGCCCAGAACACCAGCTTCTTGGATATTAGTCAAATAAATCTGGTAAACCTTGCCCTAGAGAAAGGTCAACAGGTTTCCTTAGTCCTGTGCTTTCACCTGCCAGCACGTACTCATGCACAAACACTCGAGGTCTCCTACGTGGCCAGAGTCGGGAGCTTTCCCCAGACTGATGACACAGAAACCAAGAGCGTCTTAAAGGCAGGCTCGAGACAAGCTCAGCAGGCTGAGCCCTGAGGACTCCTTCTCCACTCCTAACTTCCTCCTCTTCCCCAAGCCGGTCCAGCCGCCTCCTGGAAGCCCCCACCCCGGTCCTGAACAAAGGGAAGGATACTCCTGCTCTCTCCTTCTCAAGGGCCACCCAAGCAGAGGGGAAAGGCAGACCAAGGGGTCCCACTCCTTGGCAGTCTAAGACTCTCAAGCACTGTGACCACACCGGACAGCGTTTAGGACGCTGCAGCCAGAAAGCACTGCTCTGTGACCTTAAGCAGGTCACACCCCTTGTCTATGTGCAGACTGGAGATGGTAAAAATCCCTTTCCATAGCACAGGGCAGCTGAGAAGGCCAACGAGGTAAGGGAGGCAGCGGAGCAGTGGGCCCAGCGGAGCAGGGGCCCGGGCACTAGGAATGGGAAAGCTTCCTGAGGCTAATGTTACGAAGTGAGACGTCCAGGAACTCGTCCAAGATCCCAGGAGCCTCCGGGCTCCCCATCCTGTGAACCCGCAGCCTTCGGCACCTCCCTGCGCTCTGCCTGCCTTCCTCTCTCTCGCTCCTTCTCCTTACCCAATGCCTCTCCCAACCCATTGGCTGACAACCCCCACCATTCCCTCTAGACCCTTCCGGGTCCGTCCCACCCCCCTGCCACTACCATCAGCTCCTTCCACTCACCACACGGCCCCCACTCAATGCCTCCCTTTCCCCCTCCCTTGACTGCCCAGTGAGAAGCTCTAGCTTCTTCTTCTTCTTCTTTTTTTTTTTTTTAAGATTTTATTTATTTGACAGAGAGAGATAACAAGTAGTCAGAAAGGCAGGCAGAGAGAGAGGGGGAAGCAGGCTCCCTGCTGAGCAGAGAGCCCGATGATCCCAGGACCCTGAGATCATGACCTGAGCCAGAGGCAGAGGCTTAACCCACTAAGCCACTCAGGCACCCGCTCTAGCTTCTTCTGAAAGTTATAACTTTCTACCCAGTCAAGAGAATAACACCAAATCTCAACCAACAGGAAATGTTAACAGAACAGACGCAACGTCTTTCTAGCCCCCTTTCCAGGTGTGAGATCACCTCAGCTGGTTCCAGAACATAAAAATCCCTGAGACAGGCCGTGGTTGGCTCGTAAAACCACTAGTCTGTTCCTCTGGAAAGTTCCCTTTCAGTCACTCTGTGCACGGAGGCCAAGATCATGGGATGGGGAGCCCTATGACCTTCAGGTTTTTAAACTGTTGCTCTTCTGGGACTGAAGACAGGGCAGGCAAGAAGCACTAAGTTCCTAATCTCTGCAAGAAACAACAAGCGCCACTGTCCTCCACTCCTAACCTGGAGCGGCCCAGGCCAAGTGGACAGAGCCCAGTCCTCCTGCCGACGCCTGTGAAAGCATCCATGTTCCTGGCCCAGGAAGCCCCTCGGCTTTGGGCCAAGAGACCGGAGGGACAGATGCTGTGCACAGTGATCCACCCCAAAGATGGGATCCACACCCTTCCAGCAAAGTGGTGATACACAGCCACCAAGAAAGCCTAAAGCATGGGCAACAAACAACACCTCAAACATCCCCATCTTCAAAACAAGAATCCACCTGTATGTGTATCACACTCCACTTAAAAAAACATACAATTAGTAATCCACAGTCCAAACCATCTTAATTTTCCAAGCCCCACAAGTCCTTGGGGGAAAGCGGTTTCTTCCCTCCTAAAAAAGGCTACACTGTTTCAGAGAGCTGCCACTCCTCCCCCCGCCCCACCCCAGGGATGGGGCTCCCTTACCTGGTTCCAAAGCCAGGGGCTTCTCCTGTCTCCATCCCAGGATCTTCAGGACGGGTCTCCAGGGAAGGGGTGGAGCGGCCTTCACCCTGGGTCTCTGGCCCACTTGTTCCTCCAGGCCCCAGCTCTCTGGCCTCCAGGCCCGGGGACAAGACGCTGTGGTCCCTGAGCCCTGGCTCCGGGCACTGGCTGACCTCTCCCACCCCATGCTCCCTGGCTTCACTTGGGGCCCCCGAAAGCTCCACGTCCCGGAGACCCGAGTCCTGGGTCCAGTCCATCTGGCCCACTCCACATCCCCGTGGGTCCCGAGAACCTCCAGACTCTAGGTCACATGGCACCTCCAAATTCCTTAGGCCCAGACTGCTGCCCCAGTCCACCTGGCCTGCCCCAAGCTCTCTGGGGCTACAGCCTGCCCCCGGGGCCATGCTCCTCAGGCTGAGGTCTGGTGTCCAGTCTGCCTGTCCCACCCCACGCTCCCTTGATTTAAGGAACTCTTCAGCCTCCACGCCCGACCAGTCGGTCTGTCCCACGCCGCTCTCTCTGGGCTGGCTGGGGCTCCCTACCTCCCCGACACCAGCCAGATCTCTGCCCCTCCCCCCGACATTGGAGGTCCAGTCCTCCTTCTCCCCAACCCCAATCACTCTGGGCTCCTCAGACCCTCCAGACTCCAAATGGCCAGCCAGGCCCACATCTCTCAGGCCCAGCTTGTCTGACCAGCCCATGTGCCCCACAGCCTCCTCCCTGACCTCACTTGAGCCCCCAGAGGCCACACAGCTGGACACTTCCAAGTTCCTGAGGCCCAGCTGGTCGGTCCAGTCCACAGGCCCGGCCGGGGTCTTCTCCGGAGGCACAAAGGGGCCACCTGCGATCTGGCCAGAAGGGCTGAGGACAGCACCGCCCGCCCGGTCATCACCGATGATGCCGAACTGGAGGCCTCTCTCAGAGGCCTCCACGCAGAAGTCGCTGCTCCAGTCGCGCTGCCCTGGGCTGAAGGTGGCCTCCGGCTGGGGGACAACGCCACGGCTAAAGTTGTCCGCCCAGCCTCGCCGGCCCACCTCCCTGTCTTCCTGGCCAGCATCGGCCGGCCTCTGGCCCCCTGCCTCCTGGCCGGCACCGCCACCATGCCAGCTGCTCTGGTCTCTCTGTCCCAGTGCCCCGTCCTGGGACTGGGAGGTGCTGGGGCTGAAGAGGCTCCCTGACCCTCTCTCTTCAGGCTGGCTTGCCTCCCTGCTGGTCTCGCCCAGACCGTCTCCACCACTCGGGACCTTCTTCTCAAACTCCTCGTCCTGCTGTTGGGCTTCTTCAGGGCTGAAACCGGCACTCAGGGCTCTCATCCCGAACCCTCGGTCCTGGGGGCTGCCACTGCTGTAGTCCCTCATCCAGGCACTCTTCCCAAAATCCTGATCCGGCTGCTCTGCACCCCGGCTGCTAAAGGTGCCAAGTGAAGAATTTCTCTTCCCAAACTCCTGGTCCTGCCCGTCTGCATCCCGGCTGCCGAACCTGCCAACGTGGTCCTGCCCGTCTGCATCCTGGCTGCCGTACCTGCCGACGTGGTCCTTCTTCCCCAACTGCTGGCTCTGCTCATCTACATCCTGGCTGCCATAAGCACCCAGAGAGTCTCTCTTCCCAAATTCCCAGTCCTGAAGGCATACATCCCGACTGCTGTAAGCACCCAGTGAATCTCTCTTCCCAAATTCCTGGTCTTGGAGCTCCGCGTCCCGGCTAGAGTAAGTGCCCTGGGAATCCCGCTTTCTGAACTCCCAGTCCTGAACATCTGCCTCCTGACTCTGCTGAGTACCAAGCTGGGCTGGTGTTCCGATCACCCGGTCCTGGGCGGAAAGGCCCCCCGGGGCAGACACTCCACTCCCATCCCGGCTGGCGACCTCATCCTCCTGGCCAATGCCACACCTGTTGGCCCACTCCCTGGCACTCCCTTCCCCTGCTGCTTGCCCTCGCTTGCTAGTCCAGTCTCCTTCTCCAAGGCCTGGGTCCCCTCGAGGGCTTGCACTCCTGAGGCTGTAGTTCTGAGAAGTGTCCTGGGACCAGCTGGAAGGACTAAAACTGCTGGGAGGTGGGTCTGCCGCAATCCCAAATTCACTCTGCAGATCTTTCTGGGCCCAGCCAAGAAGTCCCTAGGAATCAGGAAAAAAAGACACAAACACTGCTTAGAGTCCATCACAGTGGGAGTCCAGAATGAGACTCAGCACTGCCCAGTGTCTAAGAACCCCACTCTGGCAATAGAAAGCCTGGGTTTAGATCCCAGCTGTGTGACCTTGAGCAAAACACTTCACCACTCTGGGCCTCAGGGTCCTCACCCTTGAATGGGAAGAATTTCTACTGCATGGAGTGGTTTGGGAGAACGAGATGGTTTAAACCAAACCTCAGCATAGTGCCTGGCTTGAAAGGGGCACCAGATAGGGACAATCAATGATCCCATGGTCATGTTTACAGCCCTTGGGCAACACTCAGCTAACTGCCAAGCGAAAGGCAGCTTACAGTGGTCTTCGCAGGGCTGTGAAAGGCGTCTGCTTGCTATTAGAAGCAATCAAGAGCCAAAGGCCCTCCACAACCTCCTTTCCAAGGAACAATCTGACTCTGCCCCTGGCCCTACTCACCCCTTCCTCCCTACGAAAAGCACCCTTCTGCCTAGCCCTTCCCAGAAAGACCTTCTAGCCCTTGCCTTCATCCCTGGAGAGGACAGGAGGGACAGCCTCTGCCATGGGAGAAGAGCCAGCCCAGGGCTCCCTGCACCCCGCACCCCTACCCCGACTCACTCCTTCAGGCGGGGGAGCCCTGGGCTCCGGGCCGCGGAGCCGGCCAGCCTCATCCCTCAGCGCCACATTGGCTAACAGCCTCTCCAACACAGACATGCTGGGCTCCCGGTCCCCAAGCCCGGCCATGGCCCCTGCCCCCAGCCCGCCCTGGGCTGCTGGGTGCGGCTGGGCGCAGGGACAGGGCTGGGCCGCTCCCCTCGCCCGGACCTGTCCAACGACTCCGGCTCCTTCTGACTCCCGCTGGCACTGGCCCCAGCTCCCTCCACGGCAGCTGCCGCTCTGGCAGCCCCGCCCAGAAGCTAGTTGAGTCACCCAGAGCCCGGACAGACACACCTCCCAGGAGCCAGCCGGGTCTTAACTCCTTCCTGCTCCTCCTCCTCCTCCACCTCTCCGCCCCTACCCCTAGAGGCAGCCTGGCTCCGCCTTGCTTCCAGCCCCGCCCCTACCGGCCCTGGCTGGCCTTGAAAAAGAGGTTTCAAAAAACCACCTAGACCCAGCCCTTGAATTCAGAGCAGCCTGGCAGGGGAAAGGGCACTGGCCAGGAAACTGGCCCTCTGACCACCACCCAGCCACCAACTCGCTGGGTAACCCCGCACGAGGTTCCGCCTCCTCTGGGCCTCCGCTTACTGCCTAGAAGGCCAGTCTTGAGCTCAAGGATAGCGGCATTCTTAAAGCCAACACTTCCTAGACACTCATGATGAACTCTGTGCCGTCCTTAGTGTTTATGGCTTCTCTCGTCTTTGCCACGTGAGGGAGAGTTCATCGTCATCACCCCAATTTTACGGACGCAGAAACCGAAGCACAGAGAAGTAACTCATTCAAGGTCACATGTGGGCAAAGAGCAGGGAACCCAGGCAGTCTGGTTCCAGAGCCCGCACACTGAATGTCTGTGCTAGGTTGCCTTCCACAATCCCATCGGTAAAGCCAGACCGAACACTCAGTGTGGGTCAAGCACTGGGCACTTTGCACACCTTGTTTTACCTGTGGTCCGACCCTAAAAAGCAAATGGTCTTATCATAAAAGGTCTCTGAAACTCAGAGGTTAAGGCACGTTAGCAGGACGGCTCCCACGGGCCCATAGCCTCTGGTCCCCCAGCTCTGCCAGTGAGGCTGGGAGGGACACAGCCCTAGGGGCCTGCCTCATGGTCATATCCCAGCTCTTGACACACAAAATCCACACACTGGAAGAAAGCCCACCCAAGCCCTGGCTTCCACCCCAAGGCCCCCCGCCCTCCCTGTGCCCCCGTCCTCACCTCAGAGCAGGTTGCCGGGGTCTCAGATCCAGCTCCCCGCCTTGTGCTGCCCGCACTAGGTGGTGGCGAGGCCAGGAGCTCATCCAGCCAGCGGGAGCTGCTGTCAGGGCCTGCAGGCTCAGGGGACACGCTACAGGGGTCTCGACGTTCTGTCCTAGATTGGGCGGCTTCAGCCTGGACCAAGGTCATGGCCTCCTCCTCAGCAGGCAACGCCTGCTGGGGGTCCGGGGTATCAACAAAGAGGACACAGGGCTGGTCGGGGGGTGCTGGCTGCTGTTGCCCCAGGGCCGGCTCCAGGACGGGCAGAGCGGCCCCCCTGGTGGCCAGAGGGAGCACGGACTCCTGTCCAGCCAGGGGCTCCCGCTCCTCATACCTCTCCTCTGCCTGCAACAAGGCCACTCCAGGTGTGCCCCCTGGTGTTGGTAAGGGCTTGAGGGGAACGGGGGACTGTGGCTGACTCTCCCCATCCGCCTTCTGGGTTGGGGAGATGCCCGGATCATCCACCTGCACCCAGGAACCAGGCCTTCCTGGCCCCTCTGGAGCTGACCGGGCCCCTCGCCCCTGCTGGGACACCCCTTCCTCTCTGCTGGATGCAGCCCAGTCACCAGCCTCGGCGGCCTCGGCGGCCTCAGTGGCTTCAGTGATGGGGGAGGGAGGTGGGGAGTCCAGACGCCACACCCCGAGACCTGAAGGCCGCGTAGGGAAGGTCCATTCAAAGGACTGTGACAAGCTCCAGTTGGACTCTGTCCCACTCCCAAAGGGACGATCCAGGGCAGACTGGCTCCCCTGGGATTGGGGCAGGGCAGCCAGCGAGCCCCCCAGCTTCTCCTGGTCTTGGCCAGGAGGCCGGAGCACACCTTCAGAAAATCGGCGCTGGGCCAGGCCGATGGGACGGTCTAGGTCACCCTGGGCCACCACATCCCCAGATGGAAACGTCCGAGGAAGATCCAGCAACTCATCCCCCTCCATCAGGGGCTGGGCAGAGGTAGCTGGGGGCTGCTCCAGGCCTGAGACCTTCTCAAAGGCTGGACTGCCAGGTATGGGGGCCTCTGGGGCTTCCACCACAGGGAGCCCTGAGCTTGGGGGGCAGCAGGAGCTCTGACCCTCATTGGGCAGGGTTACAGTTGGGGATGCTGGGGTCATAGGGAGGCAGGGGGAGGGCCCAGAAACCACAGGTCTCTGGGCTTCTGGAAGCTGAGAGTGCCAGGGCAAGCTCTCATCAGGTGAGTGAAGTCGGGGAGACCCCTCCTGGGGTGAGTGAAGTTGGGGAGACCCCTCATTGGGTGAGTGAAGTTGGGGAGACCCCTCCTTGGGTGAGTGAGGTCGGGGAGACCCCTCATCAGGTGAGCGAGGTCGGGGAGACCCAGGGGCTAGGTCTGAGACTTCAGCGGGGAGGCCTGAGCTGGTGGAGCCTCCCTTCTCTGAGGCAGGGCCTGGACTTGAGGGATCCCAGGACTTGGAGATCTGCAAGAGAAAGGTCAAGAGCCATTACTCACTGTCCAGCTGGGGAGGAGGCCCCTGCCAGCCCCACAAAGACCCCAGGTCAGCTGCTTTCTCGCACTCTCACTCCACAGACCAGAGAAGGAAGGCGGGCCTCTCAGGACAGCTAGAAAAGATGCCAAAAGTGATTTACAGTATCTTATGCTTCTAAGATTCACAGACCCACCCCAGGCCCTCTCGCCAGAAAACATGCATAGCCTCACTCATACCATTCCAAGTGGTTCCTATCTTTCCTCCCACCCACCCCAGAGCTCATCTCTGGATCAAAGGTCTGTGGTCCATGGGTCAAGAACCCTGGCCGGACAAAGGGAGAGGGAAAATGGAGAATCTGCCATCTGGGCAGGCGGGCGTTTGCTCAAGCAGGTCTGCCAGCCCAGGGTGAGGGCAGACCACCAGTGGGCGGAGCAGCTACAGGGAGGCGTGTCCACAGGTCCCAGAACTATCCACTACCCCAGGAGGCAGGCAGGCCTTCACTCAGGATTCAGGAAAAGGCACCAAGGGACACGAAAGCACAGGCCTTGGAGTCGCTGGCACTGCATCTCCTAAGCCATACGCCCTGCCCACGGTGGTCACTGGGATCTCAGAGCCTCAGCTCTCCCCTCTGTACGTTGGGGCTACAACATCCATCTCAAAGAATTAGGTCAGAATTAAATAAGATCTGTACACATGGCCTCTTGGGATAAAACTTACAGAAATAACGGAAGCTACAGGACAGAGGTCCGGAAGAGGAGGAAGAGGCAGAGGGGGCACCAAGCACCTGGCATCCCCGCATCCCACCAGTCCACTTGGCCTGTCCCTAGACAATGAAGGAAGCCTTGCTCCTTCTGACCTTTGCCCTCCCCGGGGCTCACACTTCTCCTTCCACACTCTCCAATGCAGTGTTTTCTCTCACATCCCTCAGACTCAGCCTGGGCAGGGGAAGGTCCTGCTTTCTTCTCAAGGCCCCTTCCAGTCCCTCCACCCTCCCTCCTCTCTACAAAACTCTGGATAGGGGGACATCTATCTGGGTGGCTCAGCAGATTGAGTGTCTGACTCTTGATTTCGGCTCAGGTCACGATCTCAGGGTCCTGGGACTGAGCCCTGCACAGGGCTCTGTGTTCAGTGGGGAGTCTGCTTGGGGTTCTCTCTCTCCCTCTCCTTCTGCCCCCCCCACCATGCTCTCTCCCTTCTCTCTCTAAAATAAATAAATCTTAAAGAAAAACAAGACAACAAAAAAACGCCTCCAGTGTTCAACCACACGCTCCTAAACCCTACCACCCACAACCCCTCCCACATTGCCTCCTGAAGAACCCTCGGGCCCAGATCACAGCCCCCTTCCCCAGCACTAGCCACCCATCATAATACGGAGTGGTTTCAATGGCCACACAGGCAACACTTCTGCATCCTGGCTCTCTGTTCCTTGATATCTTCTTGACTTTGTGACCCACCCATCCGAGACCTCCACCTCCCTGCCCTGCAGCCACACCTGGGGCTGGACGTGCCTGGAGAAGAGCTAGCAAGCAGAAGGCTGGGTCTCACCACAGCCTGACCCTCACTCGAACCTCCAGGACCTCAGATGGGTCTCGAGTGCCCAGCAGTCCCCCAATACTTCCCCTCCCCTGCCCACACTCCCAAGCAATGCTTCTGCTGTCCCGCCTCAGCTGCCAGCCCCTACACCTCACCACCTGCACGTGAGCACAAGCACTGTAGTCCCCTTCTATGCTCGTGAGCTGTCCCCGCTCAGAGCTCTCCGTCCTGAATCACAGATCTTTCCTTCTCTACCGACTCATTTCCATCAGCACACAAGCTGCTCTCATTTCTTCTGTCTTAAAAAACAGTCTTGACCTCACCTCTGTCTGAAGCTACCACTCAGTTTCCTGAACGTGCTGCCTACATTCATTAATCTATCCAGAGAGCTCCTCTCGTTCCATTCTCTCCCGAACCCATTCCCAACAGCCTTTTCCCTTCACCATGCCAGCTCACGCTCCTGTCATGGTCACCAGTGACCTCCCTGTAGCTAAATCCCATTCCCGGGGCTCACCTGCCTTGACCTGGCAGCAGCATCCAAAAGTGGATCACACCCTTGTCCAGCCCCAAAGCTGGGTGCTGGTTCCGTGTGACCCCTCCAGGTCTCCCTTGCTATGCCAGGGGCCAGGGCCCTCTGCCCTCTCTACCTCTCTTGCGCCTCTGGTGACCTTAACCTTCCTAGTGACCTTAGGCATCTTAACTGCCACCTGTATGCCAACAACTACCCAGCTGTCCCCCCCTCCATGTTTCCATTTGGATGTCCAAGAGGGATCTCAAATCAGCAAATCCAAAAGCAAACTCCTCATATCCCCCCATCCTGCTTCACCCTTCCCAGTCCCCGTCCCAGCGAATGGTCACCCGACCCTTCCACTGCACAGGGCAAACGCCCTGTCGTCATCTGTGACCCCATGCCAGCTCACTCTCCTAGCAAGCCACCTGAAACCCCGTCCACATCACACCTCTCAACCCCACCAGAGTCGGCCCCCAGGGTCCAGCCACATCATCTCCCACCTGGATTATGCCCCAACTGGCCCTTGCTGTTGCTCTTAGCTCCCTACTACCAACACGACTCTTTACAACTATGCCAGCAGCACGTCACTGCTCTCCTCCACAGCCCTCAATGGCTTCTTCCTCTCCCCAGAGCCCACGCCCTTCCAGTGCCTTGTGAGGCTCCAAGCCATCTGACCCATCACCTGTCACACCTTGCTAGCACACAGCCACTTCCTCTCTGACCGTGATCCAGGATTCCTGGCTTCCCAGCCAGGAAGGTGCCAAGTCCCTCGAACCTGCAGTTCCCTCTGCACAAACACCCAGGCAGCTCACTCCCTTACCTTCGCGGCAAGGGCTCCCCGGTTACCCTCAGCCCAGAGCTCTCTGCCTCTACAGGTCTCCCGCACTTGTCTGACACACAACATCTGTAGGTTCCCCGGGAGGCCTGTGCTCGTGTCTGCTTCCCCTAGAAGGTGAGCTCCCTGAGAGCAGGACAGTGTGAGCCTTGTTCTCTGCTATGTTCCCGGCACACAGCTCACAGCAGGTGCTCAGCAAACATTTGTTGGATGGACAAGGGAATGTGGTCAGGTTTCCATTGTGGGGAAGACGAAACAGCCTTTGACTAACAAGGGCTCTGTGAGCAAGAAGGGATATCAGTTACGTAGGAAACCAGGCTGCGGGGTGTCTGGGTGGCTCAGTCGGTTAAGCGTCTGCCTTTGGCTCAGGTCATGATCCCGGGGTCCAGGGATCGATCCCTGCATCTGGCTCCCTGTTCAGTGAAGAGTCTGTTTCTCTCTCTCCCTCTGCCCTTCTCATGCTTGCTCTCTCCCTCCCCCTCTCTCTCAGATAAATAAATCAAATCTTTTAAAGGAAAAAAAGAAGGAAAAGAAAAGTAGGGTGAGCCTGACTACCCTCTCAGCACACTGTGGGGAACAGTGGGGATGAAACAGGAAACCCCCTCTTCGAAACCCCAAGAAGGCAGCCCAGCCTGGGAGAACAATGGAATCAGGGACCTCAGAGGCTGCTTCAGCCCATGGGCACCTAACCTTGGTGAGCTGTGGCATCGGCACACCTCACACGGGACCAGGAGCGCCCACTAGCCCGAGTCATCACAACAACTAAGTTAGTCACCGATCCTGCGACATGTCTGACACGTCCGGGTAGACAGCTCATCAGTTATAGTTATAGATACTGTAACTGTTCGTAACAACCTGTCTCACGACACGTCCGGGTAGACAGCTCATCAGTTATAGATACTGTAACTGTTCGTAACAACCTGTCTCACGGCCTGAACCATACCTAACCACCGCAGTGATCGAGAACGCTGGCCTGGGAGTCAAGAAATCGGAGTCCCAAGCTCCACAAGGACTCCACGTCGGAGTCCTCCACAGGCCTCAGTGTCCCCATCTAAGCTATAATGAGCTTACACAAATGATCTCACGTGACCCTTCTAGCTCTAAAATACTAGGATTCTGGGGCACCTGGGTGGCTCAGTCATTAAGCGTCTGCCTTCAGCTCAGGTCATGATTCCAGGATCCTGGGATCGAACCCTGCATCAGGCCCCCTGAGAGCCTGCTTCTCCCTCTCGCTCTCCTCCCCCTGCTTGTGTTCCCTTTCTAGCTGTCTCTCTCTGTGTCAGATAAATAAATAAAATATTTTAAAAATACAAGACAATACTAGGATTCTGATTTGTAACAGGAGGCTAACTCACATCAGCAGGTGGGTCCGAGCTGGCTGCCTGAACTACGTCACCGTTGAAGGCCACGTCCAAAGGGGCATTCCTGTGAGGGAACAAGACAGGAAATGAAGGCACAGAATGGAGCAGCCCCTCACTGAGGACAAGGGGAGGGTGGATCAAGAGTCTGCATAAATGACTTTACCACCACCCAAAGTTAGCCCCCTGCCCCAGGCCATTTATTAGTGAGCCCTACCTGGAATCACTGAAGACTAAAATGCTGTGCAGTTTCCACAGAGAAAGCGCCCAGAGAGACAGTCCCCATTCCCCTCCCGCACGTCAAGGGTTAAATGACCCCCACATCAAGGGCTAAATGACTCCCACAACCCACTCCTTCAGGAGAAGCACCCTGCATACCCAGAACCCTCATTGGTTCCCCAAAAGATAACTCCTCCTGCCCCTAGCCCCTAAGGGGTTAACGTCCTCCTCCAGCCAGGGAGAGTACAGCTGGTCCCAGCCACCCTGCCAATACTTCCTGAAGGATTGCAGGGGGAGGCTGGGGGGTGGGGGGAGTGATTTTCCAAAGCTGAAGTTGTTCCTCTTAAGTTATGCTTTGAGCAAGGAAGGGGAGGAAGCCAGAGAGCAGACCGGGGACACGGGTGTGACCTCCCAGAAGCCTGGAACAAAGAAGGGGGAATTGGGGCCCCGACCGACCGTCCAGGCAGGCTCAGGTGAGAGAAGGGCAAGGCTGGAGGGCAGGGTAGGGCCAGAGGCCTTCAGCTTGGGGCTCAGCCCACAACACAGCAGCCCTGCCCTTCAGAGCAGCAAGAGGCAGAGGGGAGCCTCTTCCTCCAATGCCCAGTGCCCACCACCCCAAGGGGCACCTCCCTGCCAGCCTTCCCTTTACACTGGCACCAACTCCAAAGAAGGGAAGCCTACACAACAGTCTACAACCCGGCCGTGACCTCTGCGCCTTGCCGCTCGCGGGCCAGGCATCACGGTGTGCTCACGTCTTATCTGGTCCGTCAGACTCCTCCTCACAGGCAGAATGCCCGCCCTCCGCTCCCCTGCAACACGCACACCAGCACCTGCACGCCGCTCCACCCACGGTGGGAGCCACACTTAAGACAACACGCTGTGGTCTCAAAGAGACCTAAATTCAAATCCGTCCTGTCTTGTACGTGCTAAGGAACCCTGAAAAATCACTTTAGAGACTCAGTTTCCACATCTCTAAAACAGGTCTAATGTTCTCTTCGCTAACTAGCGTGGCTGTTAGCGAGGCAAAGTTCAACTCTCAGTATAAAAACACCTAAAAATAAACTTCCCCGTGCTACACTTGAACTCCGCAGTGAACGTTCATCCACTCTGTAAACAGCATTACAATTATAAAAGGAACATCGTTAACGATGACACCGTCTACAGTGGGAGTGTTTTGTGACTGAGACTCGTCCGTCTGTGCTCACAGAACACTAACCTGAACTAACCTACACGTGAAGGTCACAGTCCCAGATAAGGCTACCCACGTGTCCCTCCAGGCTGCCTCCCACCCCTTACCTCTCCTCAGGGGTCTTGTGATACTCTTCCTGGCACTGGCTGGGAGACTTTGCTGGTCCCTCCTGGGACCACCCCCTGGAGAGGGTCCTACCATCCTCATCCCTGGGACCTGTGGCCACACCATAGGTCCTGGAGCCGTATCTCGAGCTGCCATCATGGTTAAAGGTGAGGCGGGAGCCCCAAAGGCGATCAGGGCTGGCAGGGACCTCCTTCCGAGGCTGTTCCATCTTGGCCAGGATCTCTTCCACTGTGGTGGCTGCAAAGCGATCCGAGGCTGGACGGAAGGGGGCAGGGGCCTTCCGCACACCTCCTGGGGCAGCACATCGGGCTGGGGGTGTCAAAGGGGTCACCTCTTCTTTTGCAGCCTCCTCTTTTCCAGTCTCTCGAGTGGCTTCTCCTCCAGTAGAGGCCTCGGTTGTAGGCCTTGGTGCAAAGGGAAGGGGACGCTTGCTGCCACCGTAGGGCTGGGGTCCTGCCAGCATATTCATCTTCCGGGCAGAAGGCAGCTCAGCCAGGGGACCCCGGGGAGGCCGAGGCCCAACAGGCACCAGCAGACTAGGCTTGGCAGGCAGGGCTGGCTTAGCAGGCAGGGCCCGGGGTTTGGGCTTGACAGGAGGTTTAGCCCGAGGGTCACCTACCAAAAGGAAAGGGTTGGTTGGGGAGCTGTTAGAAGAACCAGGAAGCAGAACTTCATCTCCCACCCTAAGAACTCAGAATGTTCACAACCTTCTAGGTGTAAGTCAAATGTCACCTATTCCAGGAAGCCTTCCTTGATTTTCCATACACATCTCAGAAGCATTTTCTCCCAACTCCAAATTTCAAAAATGTTAGTCAATTCCCTTACAAGCTACAGCTACCTAAGGGCCCAGCTGGCATGTTATTTCTCCTTGTACCCCATTTTGCACCCTCGCACGTGTTCTTCTCAAATGAACAAACAAATGAATGAACAAGAGCCAATAAACAGATGCCAGCCTGCCCACATCAAGCAGCCAGGCCACCATGTCCCCAGTCCAGTCCTCTCCTCTGACATGATACTCTACTATGCCACCACCCCATAGTAAACGACACTCAGCTTCCCCACTCTGTCTCCCCACCACCCCGCTCACCAGAGTGCACACCCAGGCCACCACCCTGCTGTCATCTGCCGTGTGATCAGGAATGCAAACTTACTATTGACCTAAGCCAAAGAGAAGTAAATCTGCTACAGGAAAAAAAAAAAAACAAGACCAGAAACCTACCTTCTACATAAGGCATTTCAATGCCAAGTAAAAGACTTGGAATTACTCATGTCCACGGCCCTTCTCATAGAATCTTGTATCACCCACTCATTGGGTTCAGCCCAAGAAAGGAGTCTAGACAGAGCCAGGAGGCCTGGGTTCAAACCCTCCCCTAGATGCAGGCCATTTCTCCCCAAGACCTCACTGTCCTCCCCCGCTAAACACATGGTTTAGCAGAGAGTCTGCTCTCCTCTGCTGGGGATCTAGGATTGCAAACACTTCCGAAAGGTCTCATGAGGAGTGGACAACCTTCATAACTCATCCTGCATATCCTCAGCATGCCCCCTGCCCTCACTCCCCCACCCCCTCCAAGACAGAGCTGGGGTTCAGCTGCTGCCCCTCCCACACTCCGCCCAGCCACCCTGCTCCACCCTGCACCCATAGGCACCTGGCTCTGAGCCAGCAGATACCAGCTCCTCCTCCATCTCCCGGGGCGGTGGGGAAGCCATGGCTGTGCCTTCCCTGAGAGCGGACACTTTCATCACATGCGGCAGAACCTGCATGAGAATTGGGGAGCAGAGAGGTTGTGAGCTGGTTGGCTGGAGACCCAGGAGGAGAGACAGAGATTGAGAAGGCAAAGGGGCTGGGCACTGGCAGTAGGCTTAGCTGAGAGAAGTCTCCTACTTCTAGCAGAGACAGAGTGTGGGACAGGAAGCGGGAACTTCAGAGGGGGTTGGGGAAGGTCAAGGGAGGTCCCCAGCAGCTGTAGCCTCCTCTCTTCCCAGACTACTCTCTAAACTCCAGGCTCCTAACCCCGAAGTCCTGGAGCTTCAGGGACCCGCCCGCTGCTCCCTCTGGCAAGCTAAGACACCCCACTTACCCAAGGAGCCGGCAGCGCTGCCTGAGGTATCTACTCAGGCGCAGAGCAAGAGGGCCATGAAGTCTGAGGTCTCTCCGTGAATCACCTCATGGGAGACGGGAAAAACCCGCTCCTCCCCAACCTGGGGCTCCGCCCCACCGCCTGCCTCCCCATTCCCGCTCACCCTCCTTCCCCCCTCCTGTAGCTAGGAGTGGTTCCCTCTCCCCCTTCTTTCCCCCTCCTCCTTCCACATCCCTGCCCCACTCCCGCCTTCCCTCTAAGCTGTCTCATCCAAACACGGAAAAATAAGAAATAAAAAGTAAACATCTGGAATACATTTTTTTTTCTTTAATTTCTCAATCGCTTTGGCTTCAGCTTGGAATTTGATGAGGTAAAGCCAGGGCCTAGTCCTGTTGCCATAGCAATGGCCTCCCACTGGATTTCCAGAGCCTCGCCAAGAGGAAGGAGGAGCCGGCCCAGGCCTGGGCTGGGAGAATGGGACAGGACTTGAGAACATCCGGGGGGTGGGGTGGCTTGGGGGAAAAACTCCCTGGGGTTCCCCCTTCTAGGCAGTCGGGGTGAAATAGCCACAGCCTACAAAATGGGGATACTGGGCATCACTCGCCTCAGGGTTGGCCTGAGGGATTTGGAAGGGGACAGAAGAAATTTTAAACCAAGCAACACAGCCCTATGGCAAGGACCAGACGGTGCCCCTTCTCTAAATCTGTATGTAGCAGGGGCTCTGTGGTCTCATACACCAGGATTCAAATGCTGAGTGGCCCTACCACTTTCCAGCTGGTGACCTTAGGCACACTGCTTACTTCTCTAAGCCTCAGTTTCCCTACATGAAAAACGGTGTACCTGAGGCTAGTGGGAGGCCTCTGTGAGACAGTGCATACAAACAGCACAACGCCTAACCCGTAAAAAGTAGCCAGCAAATGTTGGCCAGTGTTAGCATGATTCCATTCAGTGTCACCAATGAGCTAAGATCCTTGGTAACTAACTACCTCCTCCTCTCTCCAGGCCACAGGCTGCCAGCATTCCAGACCATTCCTTCACTCCTGTGGGCCCCAGTCTTGTCACCTGCTCCTCAGACACTCCACCACCTCCTCAGTTCCCATTCTGGCTCCATCCCACCCACGAGACCCCCCCCCACCCCCAGGCTCCAGAGACCTGCCCCTCTCATTCCAAAGGCAGGAGGAGGTTTCCCATCACCTGGTATGCACACAGCCCTAAGGACAACCCAAGCCTCTCCACCTGCAAGGGGAGTGCCTTCCTCAGCACCCACTCCAGCTGGCCTGGGGAGACTGTGCCAAATCCTGAGACAGGACCCCTGGGGCCCAGCCCTGGAAAACCCACCCACCCCTCACGTTTGACCCTGCCCCAGCTTGTTTCTCAGACAAGAGAAACCTCGAAGAGGATAAAGAGAAACCCAGGACCGTCAATTCCTTGGTCAGCCAACTACAAGGGAGCACTGCTGGCTGTGGGTGGGTGATAACTGTGCAGAGCCAGTCCGAGTGTGCATGGGGGAGGGGCACACGCCAGGGAAAAAAAATTTTTTAAAACACAAGATTGTTTCCTTGTCCTTGAACATTATTTCAAGGGACATGGTGTGGGTGGTTAGAAATGGGGACAAATTGGTCGAGAACCGGAAAACCCTTTCACCTGGAGGCCTGCTGGGCACCTCTGCAGTATGAGGGGCTGTAGCAATGAAGTGGGGGGCTCAGTTTCCCCAGGTGAGAGGGGCTGCAGAAGCTCAGAGGCCCCAGCCCGGGAAACCCAGGTGACCAAGGCCGTAGCCAAAAGGTGTAAAATCGCAGCAGCACTGAGCACTCCAGACCCCGAACAGTCATGGGGAGACTAGCTGACCCCCCCCCCCGGGAGCAAAGGCCGCCAGAGGAGCTGGGGAGAGGCTGGGCAGCACCAGGCCGGGGAGGGGGGGCAGGGGCTCTGAGCGCTATCGGCGTAAACGGAGTCTCCCCTATGGACCCTTAGATCTCCGGCGGGATCCGGGGCCAGAGAGGTCGGCGGGGGCAGCACGTAAACTGCTAGAGGAGGGAGGGCCAACGGGAAGACGGAACAGCCCGAGGCTAGGGGCCGTCTGGAGGGGCCCAGTGGGGAGCTCTGGACACAGAGGGGACGCCGGCAGCCGAAGAGGAGGAGGAGAAAAGGGTGGAAGAGGAGGAGGAGGGGGCGGCGGCGGCAGAAGCGGAGGACCTGTGCGCTGGCTGTGAAGCAACCGGCGAGCAGACGAGGGACTGGGGACGCGGACCGGGTGGGAGCGGACTGGGGTGGTTGGGGGCGTGCCGAGGGACCCGGGGGAGGGGGCGAGCGCGGGCCCGGGGAGGGGGAGGCGGGGGTCCCTCCAGCAGCTCCGCCCGCCCCCGGCCCCGCCTCAAGCCCTCGCCCCCTCCCCCCTTTCTTCTAGCTCGGCCAGCACGAGCTCCAGACCGTGCACCCTCCGCCCCCGCGCACACGCGCCAGCTCCCCCGCGACCCCCGCTTCCTCCGCGCCCCCGGCCCCTGCAAACTTTCCTGGTGACCCCCACCTCCACCTCAACCCGATGTCCGGGCAGGATAGCTCCCACTCCTTCCATGCCTCTCCCCCGCCCCCATCCCGGACCCCGCCCCCTCCTTCGCCCTCCTACCCGCCCCCGCTCACTCACGCGCTCCCCCGGGATCCGGCTCCGCTCGGCTCGGGCTCTGCGCCCCGACGCCAGTCCCCGCCGCTGCCGCTACAGCCGCTGCCGCCGCCGCCGTCACCGCGGGACCAAGCCACTGCGAGTCCCGGCGGGGCCCCGCCCCTAACTCCGCCCATGGCCGCGCCCCCAGAGCTCCTCATGAATATCCATGAGCCGGTGGAAAACGGGAGTGGGAAGTCCAGGCAGAACAAGCCGAGCCGTATGCAAATAGGCGCAGCCCCGGTACTCAATTATTTATGAGTCTTGCAAATAAGGGCCTGTCCCGGGCTCGGACCCAGGCGAAACTGACGCAACTCCGCGGCTGAGAACGCTCGGGCAAGATGGCCACCGAGACGACTGCCTAGAGAGGCTACCTGAGGCCAGCCCGCTCGTGCTCGGCAGCCGGCACTGATTGCAGCACCATAGAGTCAGGGCGAGAAAGAAGGTCACCGTTGGCGGACTGGAAAGGCTTCCTGTGGCAAACACCTGAGAACGCACGCGACGTGGCCGCTCCACGTGTATGAGTTCCGACGTGGAGCCACAGTGAGGACGACTGGAAGCTCTGCTTCGCTAGCTGGTCCTCACTTATTTGCTATGTCCCCTTCCTGGACGTAAATTCCTCCCACTCCCCCACAACAAAAGCTTCGTCCACACTCCACACCTTTCCTGCACCCCCATCCACCCCACCCACTCGTCGTCCGTGTCTCATCTCTCCAGGCTCAGGTTTCCATTGCCCCGCGCCGCAAGGAAGCTGGTCAATCCTGATTCCATTATCTAAATTCGTGCAAGACCCTTGACTCACAGGTGATTAAGGGCTGGGCCAGAAGCGGCCTCCCTTCAGCTTGGCTAATGGAGTGGAATTGTGAGAGTGGCTTCCTAATCAGATCAGCTCTCATTTCTAGCCTCTCAGGTGGCCCATCCCGGCAGAGAACTGTGAAAACCAATGCTCGTCCAACCGGGAACAGAACAGGATGTACCTGGAGGCTTGCTTCCCGGCTGGCCGGCAGGGCCCTGCCTGGTCACAGCAGTATGGTAAGCACCACCCTCCGAAAATGGGGCGATACAACAGGGCTAGAGAGAAGGCATTAGGACATGGTTTCCAAAGTCAGTTCCCTTTATTAAATGTTGATTTTTCACAGACCAGAAATACAAAATAAAAGTAGAAATGGGCCCCCGTTAGGAGCTATAGGCCTGACCTCACATGACCCCTGCTGCAGCAACTTGAACAGAAGCAGCAGCCCTAAGGTGGGGAGAACAGGCCCAGGATTCCACCCTGCACCGCACTGCCCCACCCAATCTCTGCCCAAATGATAAAGAGCCACCCTTGGGAAGCAGAGGAGGATGCCTCCCCTGCTGCCTCAGCGAAGTGCATTCCACCAGGAGAGCCTGTCAAAATGGCACAAAACCCGAGGACTACATTTCATAGGAGAAACTGGTACAAAACATGGGTGGGGAGACCGCAGGTGTCACAGAGCAAGCCCAAGGAGAGAGAATTTTCCTCCTCTCTACTCATCAGATCCTGATGCCGAGTCTTCTGAGCTGGGGGGAGTACTGGCCAGCTCCTCTTCTTCAGAGTCCTGAAAATCAAAGGTCTCTTAAGGCCCCTCCCAGGGAGCCACTTTTCAGTGGGGAAGGACCCCTAATCCCATACCCACCCACCCCCAAATGCAGCACTGGCCTTCAGAACCTCCCATGTGCACCCTTCTATTCCACCTCGTTACTCTTACAGACCCACCAACCCACAACCCGACCCTAGACATGCACCCCTCTGCCTCAGGTACCCCTCACCCCCAAATGTGACACACCTCACTCCGCCTTCTCTTCTTTTTGCTCTTGTTCTCTCCAGAAGAGCTCTCATCACTGGACACAAACTCCTTGCTCTTGAAGCTCTCACTTAGCTGCCTTGATGAGGACTTGGATGATGAGCCCCTTGAGGGTGTTGATTTCTTTTCCACCTTCACCTTTACCTTCTTCTTCTTCTTTGACTTGTCCCTAAAGGAGCAAGAGGGGAAAGGGCCTGGACCTTCAAGTTCACCCACCAAAATCAATCCACCCCTAACTTTAACAGGGCTTCTCTCACTCCCAGCCACACTGCCCATCTCACTATAAATGCAAACCACCAGCCGGGTGAGCCCCAAGTGCCCCAAGGGAGAGCCTCCTAAGTAAATAACCAGAAAAATCAGAGGCCAGAGCTTTAAGCGGTCTCATGTGCAGAACTTATTTGACATCCATCCCTTGCTTCATCTCTAAAGTTTCATGTGAATTATGTTCCATCATAATTTTTTGTTAATTCCTCCACACCTTCAAATAAAACTAACTCTCTAGGAAAAGGGCCCCATTTATCCAGTGACCTTAGGAATTCTCTAGCACATTACCCATACTTGGGCAATTGCCTACCCAGACTTGAGAAGCACTGCCCGACAGCAGTCAGAGGTACCTATTATCTTTAACACCCCAATTCTCAACCTAGACCCACATAAATAGATGTCGAAAAACACTTACTGGGCTATTTTGTTCCCAACACTCACCTCTTAGAAGACTCACCCCGGCCCCCTTCATATTCTTTCATGGCTTTTTCATATTCCCTCCTGGCATCCTCAGCCTTCCGATCCCACTCCTGTCACACACAGACACACACACATACCCACGAAAAAAAGAGAAGAATGAGCCCTCTTCCTGATGCAGGCAACATCTAGACAGAAAAGGTGCACCGATGGCCCATCCCTGCCCCCTCTATCAGTTACTAAGTCGCCACCCCTCATTTCTGCTGCCATTCACCTCTTTCTTCTCTTTGGACATTCCCTTCCAGATCTCGCCCGCCTTCTTGGAAAGATCCGTGATACTGATGCCGGGATGGTCTGACTTGATCTTCTCTCGGCTGGCATTGAGCCACAGCATGTAGGCAGACATCGGCCTCTTGGGGGCATTGGGGTCTTTGCCCTTCTTCACCTACATAAAAATCCAAATGCCTTGAGCCATCCATTTCTCACAGACGTCCACCCTCTCCAAAACAAATTATTTAGATCACCTGCTCAGGGAAAAAAAGAAAATGAGAGGACTGAAGAGGCATAAAGCTAGACTGAGAGCTCCCAAGGCCAGGAACCCTGTCTCCTCCCCCTGCACCCACTACCTCACTCACTAGGGAACCCTTGCCTCAGGCTCCTGGGACAGAAGCTGGTCTCCTAATTCAGATCTCCCAGAAGCTAATTAGTCCAAAAGCCAGAGAGAAAAATTTCCAAGATACTCCTCAAGGTCATATTCACTGGCTACACAAAGCAGCCCCAGAAGGACCACCTGACAGGCCCTACTGCTGGTAGACAGGAAAAGGTAAAGGGAATGGCTCCCCACCACCCTTCCACTCTGAGTGTGCACCTCCACAGGCTTCTTGCGGCTTTTTCGGTCCTTGGCCATCTTGGCCTTTTTAAGCTGCTTCCGTTTCTTTTCATCCCGGTCACTGTCACCCTCATTACTAGAGGAGCTAGCTGAGGCGTTGCTGTCAAACCTGCCAAGGAGAGGGGGCTTAGACCCAAGGAGAGCACCCCATGGCCACAGGACAGGAGGGAAACAAGTCTAAAGCGACCTGCCCAAAAAAGGGGAGGTGGGACCACAGGACAGCCTCCTGGCCACTAGTCCCCATCCTGCTTCCTCCTCACAGCTGAAGTGGCTTCAGCTGTCCCCTCCCCACACCTGGCCCCTTCTCCACACCCAGCCGTGGCATCAGTCAGCCAATAGAAGACAAAATAACGAGTGGGCTTCAGCTGCTCTCTTTGCTCATGGGCTGACCCACGCCATCCCATACTCTTGGGGACAGGCACTTGGGTCTTATCTTGCCTGGAACACGACCCAAGTACTCTTCACCACTTCCTTTGAGTTAGCTGTCTTAATCCACCCCAGAGTCTTTTCTGATAAAGAGATAACTACTATAGAAAAGGGAAGGGTCGCCTGGGTGGCTCAGTGGGTTAACCCTCTGCCTTCGGCTCAGGTCATGATCCCAGGGTCCTGAGATCAAGCCCCGTATGGGGCTCTCTGCTTGGCAGGGAGCCTGCTTTCCCCTCTCTCTGCCTGCTTCTCTGCCTATTGTGAGCTGTCAAATAAATAAATAAAATCTTCAAAAAAAAAAGGGGGAGGGACGTTTTTAAGATAAATAATATAATAAAATAAAATCTAGGGGCACCTGACTAGCAGTTGGAAGAGCATTCAGCTCTTGACCTCAGGATTGTGAGTTCAAGACCGCTTAGGTATATATATTACTTTAATATATATATATATAAATACACATATATAAAACGGGAAACCGATCTCAGTCCAAGTCCGTCCATACCCATATAATTAAGTTCTATCGGATAGGCATGGAACTCCTCAGAAGACAGACAGACCTACATTACACCTGTATGGTGCTGGATGATTTTTAAGGGATTTTTGCAAATATCTGCTCACTGACCTTCATAAGTATGTGGCAACCCGAACTAGCAAACTCCCATATACATATGCTAGGCCTATATATATATGTATATGTACGTATATATGTGTATATATATACACATATATATATATACCATGTATCTACATATATAGCTCTACATATCTATTTGGGGTTGCGGGAGGTAAGTTGGGTTTTTTGGCTGCCCAACATTCATTTCCAATTCTTCTGGATAAAGAAAAATTCTTCCTAATTTTCTGTGGGAACCACCTTGCCCCCACTCAGGAGGGGCTCAGTCCACCCCCAGAATTTAAGGGTGGGTACATGCCTAGTTCTAGCACATCAGCACACATCCTGGTAAGGGGCAGTGACCATGCTGTTCACTGCTGCCCTGAGAGAAGAGGCACTTCTGGGTGTTAAACCAATAGCATTAAGCCTGCCCAGAGCTTCATGTGACACTGCATGGGCCAAACTTACCTAAAAATAAGAAAATCAGAGGAAGTAAAACAGAATCCCCACAACTTTTGAGCATCTGGATCCAGGTACCTGAAGCCCACTATATCCCTGGACTCTCCAGTTAGGTGAACTTACAAAACTCCCTTTTATGCTAAAGTCAGTTTGAGTCACGTTTCTGACTTGGCAATCAGGAACCTTGATCAATACAGCAAGGGGGGGGAACCACCTGAGGTCCTA